TTTGATGAATCCGAAACAAAGGATTTAAATTGTCCACTCGGACTCATAAAAAGGGAACTACATCTGCAATTCACAAGTAAGGTTGATACACGTTGGAACAAGCTTCAAACCTGCAAAACTGCGAGCAACATATGGCCGCATTATGACAAGACAGAAAAACTTCTCAAGAGGTCGAGGGAAGATACAGTCAAATTAATAGCCACGATAACGGGACATTGGCGAATACACTATCTTTGTGAGTGCCCAGCATTGGCACAAATAAGGCAGAACACACTTGGGAGTTTTTCCATCCAAAAACTTGGGGGGATTCCTAAATTTACCATTACTAACCTTAATAGTTTGACGAACCCAACGAATCATAAAAGCAGATAAAATCAGGGGTCCAAGAGAAAGCGTATCAAAATGGTGCTTTCAGAATGTAATCATAACGTAGTATAAGTACTTCTTTTTAGGCAACACCTAATTTAGGCATGACATTGTTGAAGCAGCTTCTTTGCTTGCTGTGAAAAGCGGCTCTACATTCGAAAAATTTTGGTCGATTCGCTTAACTAAGGTCTCTTTCAAGATTTGACAAGCTGTGAAAACCTGGACAATGGGGGATTTTTTAAACCTGGGGCCACGTTGTTAATGCTGAATAAGCTGATTCGTGAATGAATTCAGTCTTTCATACAGAATCATTGATAGGACCTTAAGCGAAACGCTGAGAAGGCGGTAATTAAATTGAATTTGGCAAAGCATACTGAGTTCTGTAGAATATATATTGTAAATGGAACCATAAAAGACGATCTTAACTCGCATCTAAATAATTATGTGGATTTTCAGGTCCTGTTGCAGCTATGGCTTTGTGACTTGGTATGCACATGCGTGTGTATATTTTCTCGGCTTATTTATGTATATTTTATGGTAATCTAAATTTGCGAACTACTAATATCCAACACAATATATTTAAATGCAATTGGCCATTACAACGCCCTCACAATGCAACTGACAAGTGAGAGAAATATTGTCATTGTTGCAATGCCACGTTAAACACCTACATGCATACGTACTAAATATGTAAATTAGCTTAGGATGTTTTGTGATTATAATACTGAATGAAATAACACTCGTATTTTGAGCTGATGACACTATTTATACCGCTTCAGCTTGGGATAATGATACGACTACGTTACAGCGTTAAAAACATTGTTGTCTAACTGTCATAGATACCGTAACA